ACACTCACAAATGACACATGCAGAAAATGTCACATCATGCCAGAAACTATATAACACATCACTTCTGGGTACAAGCTCTTGGCACAGACAGATTATTTACACAGACATAATCAAGTAGCAAATATAATACACCAAGAGCTTGCAAACAAACACAACTTGGTAGACATTCATGAACCATACTACAAGTATATTCCACAGACAGTATTGGAAAACAACATGCACAAAATGTACTACGACAGAGCCATAATCACAGATAAAACAATTTACCATAACAGACCAGACATCACACTCATTGACAAACACAATAAAATCACATACATTATAGACATATCTGTGAGGAGGATGGATAGGGTGCTTATTATACCTGTCATTCTCTTCTGTACAGGTGTGATACCACACACACTACACAAAAGCCTGGCAACATTACAATTGAATAGAAATACATACATCACACTACAGAAGGCCACTATATTGAATACGTCATATTGTTAGGAAATTCCTGAATACTAAGTCAAATAACTAAGTCAAAGGCCATTTTCTCTTAGTACTCAATAACTTGTATCTACTGAGATAAAATTGTGGCAATAACACACAAACAACATAATATCAGTGTTCTATATTTTCTATTGATAAATGTTTTGATACTCATATATTACCTAATTGCTAAATAATTGTTAATATTTTTAAAAATGTATGTTTATAATATATTGTATTCCAGTTTTTGTTTGATTTTAAGGATGTGATTTCAATGCAATGTTCTTTTAATATGTGAAACTAACCAAAATGTAACTACCTTACATTTCTCACTTCTCTTCTAGTAGTTAGTTTTTTGGAGAAAACTAACTGCTGGAAGAAAAGTAAGCAATGTAAGGTAATTGTCATATATTGTTCTAGCTTCTGACATGTTTTTACTTAACCAAAACATTTTAAAAAATATATAATTATGAAAATATAAATTAGTATGTATTAAATACATTTTTTAAAAATAATAAATATAAGATATATTTCAATCATACACACACATTATATGAATTTAGAGTTATCCCAATATTTCAATATCCACTGTTTATAGTTACAAGATTGAAGATGGCAATTTATATATTATCATATTTATGTTAAATTTTACTAAAAAAATACATTGTGGCAAAATAATATTAATTCAGGTCATTAAAATATAAGTAAAGAACTGTTTAAATTAATTCAAATAAATTTAATTGAAATCAAATAGTCATTTTATATGAGAATACTTACTGAATAGATAAACCATTGCTTTCTATAGAAAGAAGACTGGTGTACTGGTAAGCATCCAGATATCCCTTCAAAATTTCAACAGAAGCAAACATTTGATCATATTCCTTACTAAATTTATTTGAAATATCTAAAGCTGAATCAGAAGTACTTCTGCATTCTCCAGGAACTGACACAGTAAATCCTTTATCATCAATACTTGGAAAAATATGTATTGAAACTGTTTCCAGTAAATTTTTTATTCTTTTATCACCCATTCTATAACCTGAAAGTTTTAATAAAATTTCAATATAGTATTCAATGTAAATATCTAAAAAAGTTATTTGAATCAAAATGCTCCAAGAAAATCTTTAACATGCAGCTTAATTTTGCCACCAACTAACATTTTCAGACAGCTTCACTGCCCTTCTTCAGGTTCAAAAACAAAAACAAAAAAACTTCCTTCAAGATGAAAGTTCTTTTTCTTATGCGAGATGTTACTAAGATTTCTAGAGAATAGCGTATTGCAGAAATATGAAGGAAATATGTTAATATATGCAAGGTATGTAGACGACGTCTTTATTATCTGGAAGAATATGCCAGACATAAATAAATTTATAAGAGATATAAACAGCAATCAATATGGCCTAGAACTAGAGCTGGAACAACAAGGGCAAAAAAGGATACATTTCTTGGATATTGAAGTGATAGTAGAAGAAGAAAGATGTATCAAACTAAAGCCGACGTATGTAGCCAGAGCTGATACACATGATCCAGTAAACTACAAACTAGCAGCATTTAGAGTACTGTTTAAAAGGGCATATATGCACTGTAGCGAGATTCAAGACGCAAGGAAAGAAGTAGAATACATTGCAAACCTAGCAAAAGAGGCAGGAATAAAGCAAAGTAAAAGACATAAAACAGAAAGCACATAAAGTGGACATTGTATGCAAAGAGAAGAAGAAAGAGGAAGAATTCACCGTAATGGAGTATAGGGCACCACTAACCAGCATATACAAGAAAATAGGTATAGCAAGTAATAAGAAATTAGCCTTTAAGAGGAACCTGGTGATTTTTCAAATGCTAAAACATGACAAAGCACCTGTAGACAAAAAACTGGTTCCAGGAGTATACAGAATACCGTTACACGTTAAAAGACGCCAAAAGGAGCTTTATTATATAAAGGCCACAAAAAGATCGATTAACGAAAGGTTGAAAGAGCATAAAAGGGATATTAGGTATGAACAACCAGTCACAGCATTAGCAAATTACGTGATCGGTTGACTGGGATAAAGCAAAACTTATACAAAAAGTTTCAAACATACAGCATCTAAAATATACAGAAGCATAGTATATTAATAAATACAACAAAAACAGGCAAGCCATAAATTTTCGGGAATCATTTAAACTAGCATCAGCATGGAAAGTGGTGGATTTGCAAATTTAAAGAACAAGCTGACACAATCGAATCTACGATGATTTGATTTAAAAGATAAGCGTTCTAGAAGTTTCCATTAAGAAAAAGAACTTTCTTCTGGAAGGAAGTTTTTTGTTTTTGTTTTTGAACCTGAAGAAGGACAGTGAAGCTGTCCGAAAACGTTAGTTGGTAGCAAAATTAATCTGCATGTTAAAAGTTTTCTTGGAGCATTTTGATTTATAATAGTAAGTGTAGTTTGAGTTATAGAAGCTATAGTGATTAAAGTTATTTGAATTTTTACTTGCCAGAAAATTAAATCAAACTACTAATTCCTAATAATTTTAGCCAATATAATTGAACTATCCAAACTCTTGGCAAATTGCTTAGCAATTTATTTATTTAAATAATTAATTATTCTCTTCAATCAAGTAGAAGTGATGATGTAAAACATACTCATCATCATCTAGTGAAAGTATATATATTTGGAAATGAATGGAAGGTTTTAATTTTACTTTTACTATATTGCTTAATGTCCACTAAATTTTAATTGATTATTTTGACATGTTGTTGTTTTATTATATATATATATATATATATATGATTAGGATGCTATTACTTTTATAACTAACATTTTATAGCATAGTTAGCAAAATGCTTACTATTCAGATTTTATGTTTATTCTTAATATTCTTTCTTACATAAAATTGAATATTAACATCACAATACATGTAAAAATTAACATTATCTGCTCAAAAAATTTTATCAAGATATTCTATTTTCAAGCATAAAAATATAAAATATAATTGATCATTTTTGAGATAATTCAATAATGGAAATTACTGAATGTTAATAAATTTATCAGATAGTAAAGTAAAAATATTTAACACAATATTATAAAACAATGAAGAGACATATCAAGATTTCTCCACCCCCAAACATCTGAAGTAATTCCAAATATCTTGTTCAAAAGGAAAATTGTGGTTTCTTAGGTAGTGTGGAAACTTTCAAGATTTCTGTAATGTGGTTGCCAAAATATAAGCAGTGAAAAGTGCAAAAATCACCAGAAAAGCTGTATTTTCTCATTTTTCTTTATTTGGCACTGCATATGCTTGTAGAGAAAAAACTACTGGATGTAGAAAGCTTAAATTTTAAACTTAAGCCTTTCTCATTATCACTGAGGTGTTTGCAAAACTTCTGGGTCGATAGGTCAAAGTTCATGAGGTTTTCCATAGAACTAATTCAGTTTTGCAGCTTAATTTATGCCTATAAAGATAAAATTGCATTGAAATAAATGAATTTTATTCAAAATGTTACTCAGAATTACAAGAGCTCAAATTTATGTGAATTAAAACTTTTTATAATAATTATTCTAAATGGCATATCGAAAGTGTCAATTGGCAGCAACCAATATGAATATTGAAAGCATTTGGTTGGCAGTGCATTTGGTCAGCGATGTGTTCATTCAGTGCTTGATGACTGCCGCAGCGGTTGCCTAGCACCAACTGAATTGTACATTGTTGTATTATGTATTGATGTAATAGTACAGTTATTAAACAAAAAACAATTGATATCCAAACAAAAATATCTGAGATGTTTTAGTTTGGATATTGTTTTACATTCATCAGCAAATCTTTTTTCATATTTCTTTAATATCTTCTTTGATGTTAAAATGAGTTCTTAAAAAATTACTATTTTAATGGTTGACATAAATTTTAATTTATATAAATCATTTTCAATTGAATCTTACACATTAAAAATTTAAGTTACTTTTGACCTTACTAATTTCAGGTACTTAGTAACTTTTGTTTACAACAAAGTTGACAAAGTAAANATGGTTGAGTCCATGACGGCGGATTAAGTTCACAGTATCATAGACATCTTTCAGCAGACGTTCAAATCCCAGCTTCTTTGCACAAAGTTGCTGTTGGTGAATTATGCAATGATACTGGACTAACTTCTTTTGCCTGTCCCCAAGGTGGTTTTTCAGCAAAGTGACCATGCCATTCTCACATCCAACCATAGATGGTGCTCCATCAGTGGCAATGCTGGATAGCTTGTCAAAGTCCAGTGCTGATTTGTTGCAAACGCTCAATAAACCAGTAAGTAAGTCAGCACCAGTTGTATGTCTGAAAAGTGATGCCATGCCAAGAAATTCTTCATTCACAATAAAATCTAGTGAAACACTTCTAATAAACACAATCACTTGTGCTGTTGATGATATGTCAGTGGATTCATCCACAGCCAAAGAAAAATAAGCACAGTTTGCAACTAATATATTAAGTTGGCCAGAAATGTCTGATGCAATTTCCGAGATTCTCCGTTGTATCGTCATGCGGTTAAGACTGATTGTTTGAAAACACTTTGTCTTCTCAGGACACATCTTCTCACTTGCGATGATAAGACACTTTTTTATCATATCGCCATCTGTGAAAGGTTTCCCATTCTTGGCTACTACAGCAGATATTTCTAGGCTGGCTTCAACAGCTGCATCCAATTCTCCAGATTGTTTCTTGAACACATATTGTTGGCTGATTAGTGATCGTCGTAACGATTCGATTTTCCATTCGCGTTCCGTACCTTGCAGAAGGAAATCCTTGTGTTGGCTTTCATGATGTCGCTTCAGGTTGAATTCTTTTGGCACTGCTATTGTTCCATTGCACAACAGGCAAATAATGCTGTTCTGTTGCACAAAACAATACTTGTTAGTCCACACTTCTTGAAATTGACGATTCTCGCGATCGACCTTGCGTTTAATGCCCGGCGCCATACTGTTCACTCTGCAAAACAATGTCTCGTTGTGCCGAAAATTCTGAGGCCTGCAATGAATCGTGTTTGAGATAAGGCAAGCTAGACTACCACGTGCTTTGTTCTGTATCCACTCTGACCAAAGACTAAAGGCTGCTATACACCATGGGTTAATCCTTTGAGGCTGCCTGGCCTTGAGGAACTTCCGAATTTCCTATCGCCAAAAACGAAGAAAACCTCTCAGCAGAGGGTGGGGCAGCTTGCCCCGGGCACCACTGGCAGAGGGGAGCCTAATGGTTTCCAAGAATAACAAAATTTGTTTCTGGAGGGGGAGGGGATGCCAATATAGTGTCGCGGCCCAGGTGCAGTTATGTTCGCTACGTCATTATTATTATTACGCCACTAATGTTTATTGGCAACAAATTCTATTAAAACTCGCGGGAAAAAAGTATGCATAGAAGTCTATGGTGTAAATAGTAGTAGTAGTGGTTTGGGTAGCACCGATCACAAAATTAATTTTTCATACGAATAATTTTTTAATGGAATTATTTCAGATCACAAAATTAATTTTTCAAGAGAAATCTTGGGCTATAGATTATGTTAAAAAGCAT